TATATATGTGTGTGTGTGTGTGTGCATCTACATATTCTACTCAAGTGAGGTGTTGGAGGGGTCAAAGTTAATAAAAGAACGTTCCTTAAATCATCAGTAGGCATAGCGAGGTAATGATATCTAAGACTAATGGAAAATTCATTACATAAAGAAAAAAGAGATCTAATCCATTGGTTTAGGCGAATTCGTGTATGGAACCAAGAAGGCCAAAACCAAAGAGTTCAACAGCAACCTGTCTCGGTACCTTCAGTTAATAAAAACGTGACATCTTGCATGTGCTTGCACATGCGTCTCATAATGAGTTTTACAGATTTGGGGTTAAACCTTAAATTATGGTTTTGACAACCACTTCAGTTTCCTTAAGTGGTCCGCGGGATAGTTCACAAATTACTAAAATAACTCGTTATAACATATTTAAAAAGTATAGGTATGGCGGCAGCAGAGTTGTTATTATAAAGCTTTTAGTGGTGAATAATTTCGCTTTTGTGGCTTCATATGGCATTCACTTGCGATCAACTTTTGAAGATAAGATTTGATTCTCTGTAACAAACCGCTATATTTATTGCATGTCAGCATTGTATACTTCTAGCTAAGCGTCACTATAGGCTATTTTTACTCCTATTTTTAAATAATTGTTTTATAATACATAAACCGAAGGCGCGCTTTATGTCCGGGAATGATTTTATGATGACTTCTGTAGGCGAGGCTGAGCTGCCTATTGCCTCTGACAGTGATGCAAAGGATGAAGCTGTCGAAGAAGTCGAGGTCGATGTCTCTCCAACTAAGGACTTTGGATTGGTTAAACAGTGCAAAAGTAGGTGTCGAACACATCTCTCTTGAGTATCTAGCAGACAATGCACATCTTAAAATTCTCGTGCCTTCAGTGGCTGCGGGCGCGATTATTGGTAAAAACGGGGAAGCTATCACGAACATCCAAAATTGTACCGGCGCTAAAGTCAAAATGTCCAAAGCTAACGATTTCTATCCAGGTTTTTCTCTTTGATTTGTAATTTTCTCAGGAACTAATGAACGAGTATGTTTAATCATCGGGACTACGGCTGCCATCACTGAAGTCTACGATTACATCTCTGAAAAGATCTACGAGAAACCCGAAACGGTTTCTCGCGTGGTTGCAGATGGTAGAGTTCCATATGAACGACACAAGCAGGTGGAGTATTTCACTCACTTTCTTGGAAAGTTTCCACGTAGGGGCTATTCTTCGCCCCTCTATTGCCTTTATTTTAGTTGTTAATGCCGTAATATCGTCAATAGTAGGAATGCATTGTTCTTATTCGGAAATGATGCACGTTTACTTTCCTCTGCCAGGTGAAAATACTAGTGCCCAACAGCACTGCTGGAATGATTATTGGTAAAGGTGGGAGTTTTATAAAGGAAATCAAGAGCAAGACTGGTGCTTTCATTCAGGTTTCTCAAAAATCTAGAGAAATGAGCCTTGCCGAGCGATGCATTACTGTTGGAGGTAAGTCATTTTGAAATCGAGACAGGTTGCTCTATTCATTGGTTATGCTCTTCCGTTCTATTCAAACTATCGCTGTGTTATCATTTTTTGTGATGTACATATGCTTGACAATGAGGACTCGCCTGTTTCCCTAATTTTATTGATTACTGGAAATATTTCATTGAATATCTGTATCGAACGCTTTAAGCGCTATGCTCGCGTGATGGCGAAGTTGCTAATTCTTCGGTTATCTGCTGCAAAATGGTTCCGTAGTATTAGTCTTGATCATTTCACCGTTTCCTTGCGTGTGTCTTGGATCGTTTTTAGTTTCTGATATCGGCTCCACAAGCCCAGTACTTTGTTTTCCAAGCATTGATCGAGTTCGATCAAGCTCTTCAAAGCTATATTTATAATTTCAAGTCTATTTATCGGAGTCTTATAATCGGACTTTGAGATGTCCTACGAATTTATCTTGAATCGAATCAACTAACAGATAGTTAATTTTTGGCACATTTGAGGTGTTACAGTTGCAAGCTAATTGGAACAGTAGTAAGGAAATGCTGTGGTTATGTTACTTGGTTGAACCTTATAGCTTTTTTGCCGTCGTCACTTTTGTACATAAATGACATAGATATTTGATGGTCTCGAATGGTTGCTTAACCTGTGTTCTTTGTGAATCTGTGAGAATTTCACCCTTTACCAAGTTCTGTTAAACACTTATGGAGCTTCGTGTTTTAAAAGTATGCTTATGGACAAGTCATTTGAATGCGTTTGTATCTTCAGACTGAAACACCTACCTCTGGTACTAATGACTTTTTTACCCATGTCTTCATGAAGCTTCTGGCACCTTGATCATTTAATCTTAGGCTCTATGGTCATACGAATGCACAGCTTTTCCAAAGTGAATGTCAGGTAATGAGCTCGATGTTAGCGTCCCTGGTGTACCTATATATGCAGACAACCATGGCATAAGTAGCTTGTTATTTGCTCAAAAATGGTCGGCTTGGTGTTTTCTAGATATTCATGAATTGAAAGGGCCAAAGCCAAATCAAGAACACGTAGAAGTCACGCAACATCGGCGATTTAAAAAATGCTCTAAGTACTTTCTGTATATTTTTGGTTGATTTATAACGCCTTAGGTGAATTGAATCAAACTCGCGAAACGATGCGGCTTCTACTTACAAAGATTGCCGAAGACCCTTTATCATCAAGTTGTCCGAACATCTCCTACATAGACGTTACTGGTCCTGTGGCCAGTGCCTACCCCACGGGTTCCCCCTATGCACTCTTTAGTGCTCCTCCTGCTGGTCCGCCTCACCACCATCCTCCCACTACTTCGGGTCTTTCCCCCTGCTCTCCTCCAGGCAGGTGTTTTATGCACCCCCTGCAGCAGCAACAACATCATCACAGTGGCGGCGGCACTGCTAGTTGTGGTGGTCCCCTCTCTTCTCCCACCGCGTCCAATGGGAGAGTAGAGGCAAGCGCTGCTGGCAGTCGTCGAGTTCTAAACGGACGCGGAACAGCACCTCAGAGCCTTCTTGGCGCAGCCTCACTTCCTCATGGTGGAAGCGCGGGTGGAGCCAATCTTTGGTCGTCACCCACGTCACCTCCCTTCCCCATCAGCTTGGATGTTGTGCGAGGCCTTCTCCATTCAACTGGATATACCGAGGACGCGATGGAGGAGATCACTCATGCAATGCGTGTGTTAAATGTTTACGGTCTTCTTTCATTAACGAGTTTGGCGTCTTGGGTTGGGTTTGGGAGTGGTAGTGGAGGTGGAGGCAGCGCATCGAGGCCAGGAGTGTCATCGCAGGTGACAACGGTCCCACCTTCGACACAACCACCACAAGAAACAACCACTTCTTTATCATCCCCATTTGCATCTCCCACCTTCCAACCTGCTCCTCCGTCCGCACAGCAGCAGCCGCAGCAGCCGCAATCAAAGCAACAACAGCCTTCTTCACCAGTTGATACCTTCTACCGGCCTCATGATAACGGAAGCGGGCCAAGCGCTACAACCAACACGGATAATAGCTCTCGATAGAGCAACGAAGTTTACAATCGAAGTTCCCTATTCCCTACTGCCCTTCAAATACCCTTAGTCTTTCTGTTGAGACGATTAAGCCGCACTCCATTCATTTCTGTCATCACTATTGCCATGCGTAGCAGCCGACCTGTGATATCGCACCCGACGCCTTATCGCGCTTTTCTCTCGCTGAACATGCCATCGATCTTGGCGTTATTTTGGCTAAGTTATTGTGACCGTGATTTTACCGTGCCATTCGAGTCCTCTCTTTCCATCAATTTATTTTATCATTGTTTCTTTCACCATTAGAGAGGTTCGTTCAGAGTAAAATAGACGAATTTTCTCCTTTGCACATTTATTCTCGTCTCTATCATAGTTTCCTTTTGCTCTATTTTAATCTCACTTCATTATTCGCTCCCCATGTTATTGTTTGAGAACAAAATATATGCTGCTTGAATTCTCAGCCTCTAAATAATGCCATGTCAACGTTTTGATTGTTGTCATTCGCTCTGACTGCGCTACTATGATGTTGAGTCTAGTTCCACATAGGTTGTGGCAACAGTTGTCTTTCCTTAAAACTTCAATTTCCAAGACATTTTTCTGCACTTCTTTTTGGACTCATCGAACCGAGTTGGCGTTCAATGCTCACAATTTATTATTTTTTAGTCGTTGCGCCTCATTTTCCTTGTCTACACCTATCTATGATAGTACCAAGGTGTTGGCAAATGGTACTGTTGCTATTGGGAATGAAATCAAGACTACCTAGTCATGCATTATTAGGTTGGAGATTTCTCCCAAGTGAGAAGTTAGTTGAAGTTTTTGAGTAGCACTTAAAACCACATTGGAGGGATTTAGACTTTATTGTGGGAAGGCATTTCTGCTGATTGAACTGGGTTACTTCAGAAAGGCTTATGAGAAGGAGGATTAATTACCAAATTAAATCGCGTTCACTCTGGAGCTTTAATTAATTGGGAAAGAAAGGATGGTAGTGTGAATTTGTGAATGTTGGCATAAGTACCGTTGATTTGGTCGACTTCTGCGCATGGTACTGCATATTCCAACATGAAGTTAAAGCCGGTGGAAAGTTTCAATATAGCTGCAGCCTTGGCCACAGACGAGTTCACAAAGCGAACGACCAGCACATCATGCCTAGCCGTTTTCGCCACCAATCGATGCCCTAGCATTGCTACTGGTGCTGCCATGCCCAAAATACGGTGCACGCCCGTATGATCGCACGCAAGTGCTTGCGTCTTGACCAATTAACTCCTAGCCTCGTCAAGCGGCCAATAAGGTCCTGCAGTCGAATGGACGCGCAGTTTGTATCCTCGTGCGTATGTACGCTCGCTGTTGCATTAGGCACGCGTGCGCCAGAGGTGAGCGCAGGAGAGTACTCGGACCGGCTATTTTGCCTTTGTTAAGTGAACCAAGGTTGACCCGTTTCAACTGCATCGGATAGATCAAGTCCGACCCCAAATAAGCTACTGAAGTTTTCGCTAATCAAAAGGCGTTCACAGGCAAATGTAAAGTGGAGGAAGGTATGGAGAAGATATTTTTGTGGGAAAGTTTCGGAATTAAGTAATCCGAACGTATTTGTTGTCTTCAAAACTTGTGGTGAGTGATCCGCCTCTGGGTGTCGACGTGCTGTGAGCCCACTCCGGGACGTGTATTGCAGATTTCGTTGCTTAGCCTTACTAATTCACCGAATGTTGGAGATGCATAGACAGTATCCATGGAAAGGATGTTCCTGATTACCCCATTCAACCCACGTTTACTAAAGCACAACGTCTGAGAGGTTAGTGATCTGCTTCAACGAAATGTGAGTTATGCGCTTCGTGTAACCCGTACCATAGGATCGCAAAGGCCCATTAGAAGGTGTGTACTTTAGTGATAAACAATATATACCACCCACTACTTCTTCATGAAACTATAGTGATAAATTGAGAAGTAAAAAAAATGGACCAGAAAATAGCCAAGAATTTATGGAGGCATATGTACGATATTCTATCTTTTCATTTGTCCGTCTGACAGATCGCATAAAAGCGGTATGGATATTTTGAAACTGAACAAAATGCAGTTCGTAATCTAGTAGAAAAGGAATGAAAAGTCTGACCTTTGTTCACCACTGAGGGGCACGTCTGCCATCCACCCTTTCCTCGCAACGTTGCTGGAAGTAAGTTTCCGCCTGGCATGCAATTCACATTAAAAGCTAAAATATATTACAGCATATCTACCAAAACATCTACACAAATGCAAATTAGTAGTCACATCAGGTGAAATCCGAAACAGCGACTGTGTTGATGCAGTAGGTTTATTAATTATGCATATTTTGACGAATGTTTCCGAATAAATTGACAACCAAACTTCAGTAAAAGTGAGGCACAAAACGCATACAAGTGGTGCTTCAGAGCCACAATCCTACAAAACACGTGCATCTTGGTTCTTCGCATGTTGGATTGGCTGTATGTGTGGTGGTGCTTTTGTGGGTTGGCTGGTCTTCAGGCCCTGCCAAAGTCTCATCTCTTTCCCTTCCATCCGACTATATCTAGTCCATCAAGTATTAGGCTCAGTAATGCCTAATGCAGTCCCAAGGGTCTATCCTCCTGGCAGCGCAAAACTGACCCCACATTGGTAAGACTTCATTTCCGGTTCCCGCCGGCTGCAGAAACATTGCAGTGCAGCCGATGTGCATATTTTTTGAGAGGGAATCCCCATATCGCTTTACAACAGAAGGCGTGAGGAGAACGTCTGCCTACGGCATCCACTCCATTCCTGTGACCCACAAGCAACACCTGCGTACAAATGTCTACACTATGTGATTGCTTAAAGCCCCTCCCATACGGCACTCCCGGCATCTATTTCTAGGCACTTATGATGGTCAACTCCCAGTCTCTGATTCCTGGTTTTTAGGTCGAACGAACCGAGTGGAGACATCGAGACCATCGACGAGTTCATTCTTACACCACCGATTACGCTGTGACGGATGGCAAAGGGGATGTCGGATATTTTGGCGCCCATCACACTTCTGTCAGACAAGCTGGTCTTCATGCCAAGTCATACCAAAAGTCTCATCTCTTTTCTGCCCGCTTGTTTTTATCTACCTAACCGAAACCTATACCCTTCATTACTCAACGAGGGGTTTCAAAAACAGACACCCTCCACTCAACGTGCACGAGAGTATTCCTACATGAAAACATCAATCTACTTCACAGTCAAAATTGGAGCCCGCACCGAAGCATGAAGAGCGAAGAATGAGTTTTCTACACTAGAAGCACACTCTAACGATTAAGCTGGGCTGAATACATGTATTCCAGGGAGACAAGAAGGAATGGAGCCCGAAGACCAGCCCACGTGTAGGAGAACCAGACAAACACCAAAGTAGTTGTCATACATATAGGTGGTCACGTAAACAAAGCATTGCACTACCCCTCTTTTGCTTTGAGCAACGTCTCCGATACCCTTGATACACTTCCAGCGCCAGCCTTCATATATTCACAAGCGCAACAGCGCTCTTATGAAACAACCGCGCCAATCATCGGATACCATAAAATTGAACTTGGCCGCTTCAGCAGAGCGGCATACATCTGCCGACTATCAACTGCTCCCAGCGCAAATTGGAACGCTGGCCAAAAGCGTGTACTTAGCAGAGAGAACAGGATTACAGTCTCGAATGCAAAAATCCGGAGTGGGGTTATCTCCAATACATGTAAGCGGATGTAGTAAAGAGAGTCCCGATACGAAACGTTTCTAGATACCGCTTTAGTAAATAGTATCCTGTCTGTGAAACATGAAAGCATGGCGGAGCCAAACACACATCATTCTCAACCCTTCTGTTGTAAAGAATATAAAGTTTCTAACCGAAATTATGAGCGCTTCCAACGCACTGTAAGTACATCACAGACGGCGTACACTAGGGCAGGAGTCGTTAAGGTGGTCAGACTCGCTTCCCAACGTCACCAATGTAGCGCTTCCCACTGGCTTGAGGGAGAGTAGGAAATGAAGCTAAGACCAAGATTTGACCCGAAAGACGGCCTGCGCCTATAGGGCAGACCATATGCCAAAGTAACCGCAGAACTCAAAGTAGTCACTTAAACAAAGAGCTGCATGCATTTCATTTTTCTGCAGGGATGTATGCATCCAACCGAATCTTATGACTTTTAATAACCAATGGACTCCTCAGGACGCGGCACTAAGAAGTGGCGTAAGACTAACCACCCCCAGGTTGGCAGTAAATCACTTATGTTACAAATTACAACGCAAGATCAATAAAAAATTTTAAATCAACCGTAAAAAAGAAACGATATTTAAAAATAAATATTAAATTGCAAGTCAGACAATAATGTTAATTATAAAATCGCCTGGTTACCCCATCCTAAGTCTGATTTTGATGGTTTATTGCATAATAGTTGTAAATCTGTAGGAAGCAACATGGAAATTTGTTTAAACTCAGTCAGAGAAATTATCACCATTTGCATTTGAGGTCACACTTTAAGGTGTTGGTTTAGTGCCTTGTCCTGCTCGGGACGCGCCATCTTTCAGGAAAATGTCCCAGTCAGATGTTCACTTTTACATTGGACTGTCTTTGGCACTAGCTTCCACAATATTCATTGGCTGTAGTTTTATTGTTAAGAAGATTGCCTTGCGAAGATTGGCTGCTACGGGAACGCGAGCAGGCATGAAGTCATTTCTATTTATATTTTATTGAAATTTTTCAATAATGCGGAGCTTGGTTTGTCTTTGTTTACTTACTTAATTAGTGAACTTAGTTTTTGCCCCTATCTGCTTTCTTTTCCGTGCGCATTTTTCTTGAATTTTGATTGCTACTTGCTACCTATTACCTTTTACAAGTTTATGGTTTGCACATAATTACTTATGACCTCTTTGGAATAGGTGTTTTCCTCTGGATTTGGCTTTAGTCAAAACTTATTTTTTACCTTAGTATTGGGTCCTTATTGACATAAAGGTACTCACTGACTTGCCTATATGCGAATTTGCACCAAAAGGTTATTTTCTTTTTCGACATTTTGGTGAGATATCATGATCTTTTGTATGCTTACAATCCTTCTAACTACACATAATTTGAATCTCAAGCATTCTTGCTTCTCATATTCAACTGCTTTTGTAGTAATGTCTGCGTACGCTAGTATGTCACGAACAGTGCTTAAGGAATGGAATCCTACATCATAGTCTTCCTTGAGAAGGCAATGCCGTGATGATCCAGAAGTTCCCATCTTCTCATTAGATGTTCTTTATGTATTAAAAATGAAGGCTTCATGAAAACGCTAGGCTTTTTGTTCAACGTTCGTTTTTTGCAGCGGTACAGTTATCAGGTGTTTCTTTAGTTAATTTAAACCCTAGAGGTGAGCAATGGTACCATGTGATAGTAATGCGATTTTATATTTTCCAGACATGATGCGTGATTAATATTTATGGTTACTCTTGTACAGTGACCACTATAGTATCGTTATCCGCCCATACACATAAGCATTGGCTTTAATAGGCAGTTAACTGTGTTACCCGAGTGTGATAAAGTCGTAACCGATGGATGAATTAATGCCAACTGATTGTCACACATTCCTTCTTGATGGAATTTTTGTCATGGGGAAGTTGTGGGTGTCAATGTTTATTCAAGCTGAGGTCGCTAGAAGTGTGTAATAAATGTATCTTAGATGAATGTTTTGAGTCGTGGGGAAACTTTATCGCTATCTTATTAACCGTGCTTTAATGGGTTACTATAGGCGACGGTGGGTACCAATATCTCTGTGACTGGGTTTGGTGGCTAGGCCTCATCCTTATGGGATTGGGAGAGGCGGCCAATTTTGCGGGGTATACTTTTGCACCTGCCTCTCTTGTAACCCCCATGGGAGGCCTCTCCGTCCTTGTCTCAGCGGTGTTCAGCTCCCACTTCCTTGGTGAGCGTCTCAATTTCATTGGCAAGATTGGCTGCGTTGTTTGTATCTGTGGCTCAACCATGGTTGTTCTTCACGCTCCTAAAGAACAGGAAGTTCAATCACTCCATGAACTCAGTATCAAGGTCTTAGATCCAGGTGAGCTTCAGTTTGACTTGCCTTCCAGTGTCTATCCTCCCACTTTATTAAGCGTTGTCTTCTTTCATGAACCTCGGATTTAAGGGACTCATCAATGCTTTGCGTTGTTTTATCTTTAACTTTTGACTGCGTTTACTATATTCTGTTTGATGTCCCTTAAGTCGTGAACATCAACGTATAATTCTGCAACACCCTAGAACTCCATTAACTCGAATGCTAAATTGTAATGCTTCTCTTATAAGGCCATATTGTGGGGCTAGGAAAGGCTGTTAAGGCTGTTGATCACCTACAGTTAAGATCCTTTACACTTTCATTACCCACCCCTGTTTAGCTTTGTGGTTTTATGCACAAAGCGACAAGTGGCACTCACCCATTAATGCCAATGCATGGTCGAAATTCAGCTGCTCAAAGTGCCCTTTTTTAGTACATTTGACCTATTTTCACAGAAACATCGAGAGAGGTTTTTAAGCATGCATTTCGTCACCTCCAGAAATTGCTTAGACTGTTTCGTGAAACATAAATTACTATCGTGTTTCTCTGGTCACGAAACCTTGTACTAAGGTGATAGTGAAGGACTGCAATTCTGGAAGTACTGCTTTTACGTGTCCCTTTCACTTTTGAAAGCCTACTAAGGTGTGTTGTCGTTGGTATCACTTCAAAGGTTTTATATTCGCATTCTCATTGTTCTTTTAGATCTTGCTTTTTTAAGGAAATTTTGGCTCTAAATTCTTAATCATGAATGATCACTCGTTTGCAGCCTAATTACTTGAAATTATCTAAAATTGCAGTTGTTATCATCTTGCTCTGCATCCCCTTCGCTACTGGCGTTTATTCTGAAGAAGCTATGCGTAATTTGCGCAAGTCTGTGGGGGCTATCAACAAGTGTATCTGTAGTTCAACGGCATCCTCACTATGGATACGCTGAACTGCACTATGCTATTTCCTAGCAGCTAGTCACCAAAGGGTTTAGCATACTTTTGCCTTGTTTTGCAGTCCGGAAATAAATTGAACGTTTGTGTATTTTTGAGCATGCCTTCAAACAGTAAGGCTATCTTCATCCTATTCCTTTGTAACTGCTTTTGGGGTGCTTTAGGACAAATTGTGGCCATAATTGCATAACTGGTGGAAATTGAAATGACAGTATGTCATTTATGCTAGAAGTGAGTGCTGCCGCTATGAGAGTACCAGACTTTGTCAGTTCCAATTGTAAGTTCTCCTCGAATGCGTTGCTTGAAGGGATTCAGCAACATTTTTCATTGAGCTCAATCCGATGGAAGCAGTTAGTCTAAGTAATACTTGGTATATTTAACAACTTGTGTCCTCTCAATATCACGATGCTTATTCGTCAAGTTCACCTTTAAGACTGATCTCTCACATTTTGTCTTCCGATTTCTTCTTGGAAAGGCATTTCTTTTTAACCTAAATTGGAGTAGTAGAAAATAACTTGATGTTCAGTGTTTATGTGGGTGTCAGCGGAAATTAGCCGGCAAAGCAAAATCTCAATCCTAACTAATTTAGTGGTAAATTAATCAGACACCGTGGTTTCGCATTCCCATGTTGATTTTTACCTTATGTGTTCTCACGTTTTGGTGAAAATCTTACTCGACTAAATCATCGGTACCACTTTACGTGGAATTAAAGTGTTCGTAAGTGCACTCACGAGAAAATTATCGATGATAAATCTTGCATTGATAATGTCCAAACATCATCTATAGCATTCCTCCTAGTATTCATCTACACTTTGCATGACCTGGCAAAGTCCGTGGAAAACAGTCACGCTTTACTCACTTGTCGTTGAAGCTAATTCCCGAAGCCTCGTCTCTCGATATTTAAATGGTTTTTTTATTTTATACCTGTTACGCTTAAGGAATAGCGAATTAGAGCGAAATTACTCATTTAATAGGATTTTTGTCCATCGTGTCTGATTGTCACCACTTATCGCTGCCATGTTACATCTATTTTTCACCGCAACTTATTTGCCTCTTGGCATTGCATTAAGTGGTATTGGGTCAAAGAACTATTTTGAGTTCATTACGGGGTGCGGCCCTCATTGCGCAAATATTGGAAATGCATATGGTTACTGGACCCCAGTGTTCATGGTCACTCGCTGTTCACTGTTTGTGTGCCCCTGTCTGTATGAAAGATCACTTTTATATTCGCACCACGAAGACATTGGTTGGCGCATTTTAAAAGTGCCATTTATAATGCCCTTTGCTTGAACATAATTCCATTGTCGTTTGTATAACATATCGCCTAGGTGGGCGGAGAGCTCTTGTCTCCTTTTCACTCGGTGGTTTATTGGGAATCGTCCAGACATTGTTTACGCATGGCAAGTTCTAGCAGCCTACGATTAACTACCTGATAAACTTCCCTTTTAATGTTTGCATTTAAACGCGCAATTATCTTCATTGGTAAAATCTCATTGATATTTCTATAAAAGAATTGTACTATTGATGTCTCCAAAAATAGGTTGCACTGACCCTTTCTAGGTGTAGCAAAAATTGCATCGTGTCAATTATTTTGGTGCCTTTTGAGGAGCTTTCCACTTTAACAGTAAAATAATTATCCATTAAATGCGCTCACTTATGTGAAGGCGAGTGACAATTGTACGCATTCTGCGTGAACGCTTAATATGCAATACCTCTTGATTCTTGGACTTTTGATCAAAGCAAAATCATGAGCACTATAAAACACCCACTTATTCCCCATAGCTCTTCTACCATATGACTGCTGCAAATTTGTAATGCGTGGGTTGTTCTCATCGTAGCTCTAAAGCCAAAAGTTTATACCACATAGCTCAATTTCCTCCCTGTCCTCTTAAGAATTTCTCAAATGGTAAGCAAATATGAGGACAAAATTTATCGCAATCAACTTTTCGTACATCGTGCCCCAGTTGCTTCTGCGTCTTATTTTTTGAAGTTAAAGTTCTTGATAACTCATTATCAGTATAAATTTCTTTTGCGTAGGATTCCTCACTTATGCAATAGCAGTCACAATCGCAGGCGTAGTGTCAATTTTTGTGATCGCTCCAAAGTTTGGAACTCGCAATCCCCTTGTCTTTGTCTTCATTAGTGGCAGCATCGGATCGCTCTCAGTTATGGCATGCAAAGGGATCGGTTTAGGGTTTAAGGTGAGTTCGTGCCTCATTTGGTCTGCTTAAGGATTCCACATTTGCTCATTGGTAAGTTGTTGGCACTTTGATTTATGTGCGCACGCGTGAACCATGCGTATTTAGCTAATGCTATGTACCGTTGCCTTCCCGAGGGTGTGAGAACGAATTACTTGGATGCTACTACGGGGACTCTCTACGCCACACCTTCATCCCACAAGTGACTATTGTGGTTGTGTGCAAATAAGCTCAGAGAGGGGAATGAGCTTGAGTGTCAAGATTGTGCGCTAACTGTGCAAAAATAATTAGTCTTGATCTTTTGTTTCACGAACATCTTGGTAGTAAAGCTTGTCTCTTTCTCTTCAGGGCACTTATTTGAACTTGTTTATGCCCTAGCAATTTTTCTTTCAAAACCATTTTATTAATTTTAACTTCCTCAAAGTGATTGATAAAACTTAATACTTGTAAGCAATCGTGTGGAACTCCTTTCAGCATAGTAATTTTGCTTTTCTCTGTATTTTAAAGCTCAATCTGACATCTTTCATCGGCTCACACGTTCCGTCAGCCTTGAGTCTTGAAATTTTTCAATATTTTAGTTCCTTTCATTTAGCGTCATCAGTCTTGGTTCCCTTTCTCTTAATTTTTTCCAACTATCAGAAATTTCAGTACTTTGAGCTCGAGATATAATGCTGTTGTGATGATACCCACTCTTGCTGTCTCATTGTTTCACTCTTACTATTATTTAGCCATTTCCATCACTGCACCTCACCTCTTTGTTTGTAAAATTAACTACACTTTTTCTGCCCCTGAGGCTTCTTTAAACTTTTATCGAAGTCATCACCTGTTCTGTTGAAGAGGGACTAAAACCGGGTTGATACCTCCTTAGTTACATTTAGCACACAGCACGGCTTTTCTCAGCATCACATTTATTTCCAACGTGCTGTGACCTTTATGGATTTAAACAAGACTGTCACATCAAAATTCACCTATATTCTGGCAGTTAATTTTAAGTTAAATAAAGGCGTTGTGCTTTGTGATTCAAAATCTTTCTAATAATCACTTCTTGTCAAGTGATTTGCGTTTGATAAGTTCCAGTGGCGTTTCATGTGATTCTATTTGGGACGCCACCACGCACCTTCTTTCAGTGGTGCATCCCACTGTTGTCTCGATTTTGTCGAAAAGTAGCAATGAGACTCTAGTTAATGCCTTTGACGGAGTTTATCCCATCGCTCTTGATCTTGTGTGACCTCCATTGGGACTTTCAGTTCTATTATTTTTGACTTTAGTTGTTACACGTCGACGCGTACACGTGCAACTACAGAATACCTTTTACTAGGCCAAACAACGGGTCTGGGCTGTTTGTTGTAGAGGGTTGGACCGCTATCGAGACTAGGTTTTCAAATGACATTATTCCTTTCGTTAAACTTGCATGTGCAACCATCCCTTGAAGGTGCCTAGAGGCTGGTCACTGTCGACCAAAGCGGTACAAGGGGAAGCATTAGCATCTTCATCTGGATACTTTTAGAAACGTCATGTTAGATTTAGCATTAGTAATTTGTTTGCGGTCGTCATATTGGCACTATTTTTGCTAGCTTTAGATTGAACATCTTAATTAATGAATCTAGACACATTGTAATGTCACGTTTTCCAAAATTCTACACTTTGATCAGCAATCCATATTCATTTCAACTGTTTCGCCAGATATTCCCAATTTTGGAATCTCCCCTACGTGCGTTTTCTTACATTCTGCCAAATAATCACAGATTCCACTATGAAACCACGATTGCTTTTTAGACTTCTCATAATCCTTTGCCGCCATTCATGTCATGACTGTGTAGACTGTTAGTAAGCACAACCTGAAACTCCTGTACCTTCATTTGACAGTGGGTATTCATTTGAACAACTTAGCTGTAATTTGTAAGGTACGGCTTATTCATCAAGTACTGAGGTGAACTGGAGTGTCTCGTGCGCTCGTTCTTCAGGAGGCTATCGAGTATGGAATTCTCGCCATCCTTCGGCAATGGATTTTCTGGTTCTTCCTGATCGGTTTGATTTTCTGCCTGACTGTGCAGCTGAACTACCTCAATCGAGCCCTCGATGTTTTTAACACAAGCATTGTCACTCCTTTGCTTTACGTTTTCTTCACGGCCTTCGTGCTGATCGCGTCAACCATTCTCTTCAAGGAGGGCTCCTCACTCTCCCCCACCGATTACATCGGTAATGCCGTTGGTCTAGTCTGCATCGTCAGCGGCATTGTCCTTTTGACGCTCTTCAGAGTGAGTTGGAAGTCGCTAATTGATAATATTTCAGGCGTTTTCTTGTTCATAAACCGTCTGACTGTTGCTGTTTGGTGACAATCTTGTTCTTACGTTTTGAGGAAAGGCAGTTTTTATATAACCAATACAAGGCTCGAAAGCGTAACCTTTAGTACCTTTATAATTGACTAATTCTTTATATTTTGAGAACGAATCCACGAAACAGAAGAGGTAGAGCATTTGAATATGGAACCCTCGTGAACACAACTTACCCTAATATGGATACATTTTACTGAAAGATGTTTGATGGCCAAGTTGTCAAAAGGTTCACACAAAATTCAGTTGTGTTGGAAAATCAACACAATCAAACGGGCATAGTTGGTTATCGTGTTATATCACTTGGTGCTTTCAGCTGGGGTCAGAGGTTATGGTTGCATTTTTCAGCGTTGTTTCTGCTTGGGATAAGGTGTTGGCACTTCGTTTTGCTGAGTATCACCGTAAATGACCTCCTCTATCAATTTTTTTGAACGTTTGGTCTTATAATCGCAATATTCATTGCATATTTTTCCGCGATTTTAGTCAGTCTTCATTCTAGTTGCTTTCGGAACTTCCACCTCTTTTTAGCAGAATTACATTCCTTACGGTTTATTTGGTGCTAATCACAACTGGCAAGCCTTTCTCATTGCCGTAATTGACGAGTTATCTAGCTTCTCGTTTTAAGCGGTTAGTGTCTGAATTCTTATCGAGGCTTTTGCACTACACTGAGTTTAGGTGCTTCAGGTGCATAGCCGGTAGTAGGAAGAGGCGTCTTGCACCTTTAGTGTGGCAAATAAAGGAGGCGCAATTGGCAAAATCACTGCCTTCATCCACGCGCATTCATCTCACCTGCGGTGCCTCCAGTAGATGTACTGAATGAAAATGTGCAGGTCGAAAAATGTGCGAAGCTGGTTGTTTCGCGCATTGTTGTGTTTGTGCGCATCAGTGATCTGCGAATCGCATTTTCTGCTGGTAATTACTATTTTTTTTTTGAATTGCTTGATTACTAATCGCAGCACCTTTTTTCAAGTGTGCAGCGGTCACTTGCGTTACATTTACCGATGTGCTATGAATGCATATGATCAAGTTGCTAATTTGTTTGCAGGGAATTTTAATTTCACTATCGCACTCACCGTGTTCTTATGATCGTTAAAGCATGGCTATTTTCGACATAATCTTGTTTGATCTCGGTTGGCAGAAGTTTACGTAGTGCTTGGTGAGTTAAATGCGCTCGTGCACTTCAGTGCGATTCCATAATTAATTTAAGTCGAGATGATTTTTCGTCCCAGAAACACGTAGGGATTTCTTTTTTACCAAATTGTGGTTACGCGAGACTTAACTACCCCTCCCAATCTGTCTGATGCTCTCTCGCTTCTTTAAGCACAGTGCTCGACATTTTGAAAAAAATGCTACTTAAGAAAAGTTTCCATTGTTCAAAGGGTCGTTGGCGTGGGCTACCACCTCCGTCTGTTTTTGGGTATGAGGAACCCTCCTTACTTTTGTATTAACGTCATTCGCTTGCGTAATTTTATGAACGCGTGAGCTGAAGGCCTCATTTTTGCATACATGTGCGCGCTAATTTAGACCCTATTATAGTGCGTTGCCTCTTGAAAGGACCCCAAAGAACTCTGCTTATCTGCTTAGAATTTGACTCTACGTATGCACACGCAGATAGAGCAGGACCAAGAAACGCATAAACGAACACCACTACGTCCTCCTTGTATTGTTTTAGCCGACCACCATTCGGTCTTCTCTTGGCTCCTTGAAGGATTTCGTTTTACTTCCGGCGCCTAGGAATTACCGGTCGGATTTATAGCGGCTTGCGACCCATGTGTCCCCGTTTCTGTGGCCCACAACTTCAGGTCTTTTCCTTATACTTCGCTCTACTGAACAATATGACAATGCCATTCCTTATCAATCCACAATTTTGCTGTTCAATCTGAAGAAATAAGGCAAACAAGCGATTACATCTCTGCCTTTGTAATTTCTGTACTTCGATGAGAACGGGGGTTACTATCGCAGAGCTCCTCAAATGACACGCATAGAGGGTCATACTTTGGGATTCATGGTTTGAGTAGAGCCGGATGCATTGGAGGGAAAAATTCTTTGGAGCTTCCTTACACTTGGCATCGAATTGTGGGTCGCGTCATTCATCACACATTACTTGGAGCTCTTTAAATAGTGCTACTCACCAGAGTTCTCAATACTGAACATGGTATGATTATGCCTAAGGGACTGCCGTCATGTGGAATGATAAAATTGACTTCTCACAGGCGAAGTCTATCCTACTAACAGGATTTGGGTAACATTTGTGTATTTGCATACCTTCCCAGGACATGAATGTGTCACTGAGCGATTTGGTGAAAGACTTCATGGGTCCGGTACCCACGCGTGTGATGCACCTCAGCAGTGACCTGTCTTTCAAGCATCGTTTTTCTCCGACTTGGTGCAAGCGAAAAAGTCGGGGTATCCCGGATGAGGCATATACGCTGCTTTCGACGTCGAATGAATGTTGCAGTAGCAACGATAGCAGCCACAGCTCCTCACCTAACCACGACATGGTAGAGTATCCAAAGCTGGAACGTCATCATCAAGGAGTGCACCAGCGTACTGGGTCTGGCGCTTCAGCCTTTAACTTCGCATCCGTTGCTGTCACTACCGAAAACTACTCCACCATCAGTGAGACGGGCAGTGTCAATCACTCCACCATCTGGACCTCCATGTGATTGTCACTCCTATGCTGCACTGCACACTCGTCCAAATGCGAGAATCATGTCTTTCCCTTTCCTCTTTTCTCCCTCCTTCCTTGCCGTTCTCGCTGCCATGTTTATAGTACTGTGTGCTGTCCTACTCACACTTCTGCAAATGTATGCTTGTTTCTTTTGTACTATTTCCACATTGGGAAATGCCTTTTCCAGACATTGCACTGGTGGAAGCTACATTTTACGTTCTCTAGTTTTTGAGCGTACTCTGGGTACATGGGTTCCTTTGTAGAACTTGTCAAAGAATGGGACTCTGGAAAAAATACCAACGTTTTACTAATGCTTTTACGCGTCTTAAAGATGTACTGTTGGTGTTACAATAAACTCCACTTTTTTTTGGATCAAAGGTTTACAGTGTTTTCCTTCCTTATGATGTAGGCCCGATCTACCTGTGGCCACATCTCGATCCCAAAGCTCTTACTGATAAGTTCCGGTAGCTGTCTTTTTTGTCTACATTTTCAGAGGCTTGTCAACATATACTTTCTATCAGTGATCAAATGAAGGAAGTCGCATTGTTGACATAGATTTGTTCACCAGTCTTTTTTTGCAATGTTCCAGATGGCGGGCTTGGCGTGGTTCAATCGATGAACATTGTAGTGTGGCGGATCTCAGAGGTTGGAATGATCTGAATTTTAGCATGTCCGTTGAGGGATCGTGCAGGATATCTCTGACAGCTATTTTTTGCCGTGTTTTGATGCTGATCGATCGCGACAGTAAAATCGCCGTAAATATGGGCGAACTTGACGCATTCACAGGTGACTTGGCACTTTTGGTAGTAGTAAGTAGAGAACACTGGCATCGAGGCGTAGTCGCTCCTATACCTCGCCAAACACCTGCATGCAGACTGGTGTTTTAACACGTCATGGATCCATCAAGTCTAGCATCATTTACTTTGTTAAATTGTCTGCTCTCTGGCATGGTGGAACTGCGGTGAAGATTAGTTGTGGTGGCGCAGATGCTTACAATAAAGTGATTCGGCAGGTATCGCGTTTAATTGTATTGCTTGCTGAAATTTCGTCTAAATAATACAATGACAAGTTAATGCGTTAACGCTGTTCTATCCGTTCCAAGGAAGGGACTACTTAAAATACTGATTTGGCGCTTCTCAAGATTTTACCTTGTTAGTAAGCATCGCCGTGTCATGTGTTCGGAAATCGACCACAAAGTAGAAGGTCGCTGCGGATAGAAGTAGCTGATCAGTAAGTTGGCAAACCTACAGATCTGGATCCGTTTGAAATCAAACGCTATCACGGCTGGACAGAGTTTTGAATTAGAGGTAAAGCTGCCAATCGTCATCGGGGATGCATCACTAGGGTAATACGGTATACGCGTGCGAAGCATATAGTTTAGTGTATTTTTCATGAAAAGCATTTCTTAATAACAATAATTGAAATGGTTCTATGTTATAAAAACCTTGATGTCCTCAACAATACCAAGAGGACGATTTTAAATCCACTAGAATGTTTCTAGTCTGCATAGAGCAGTGACGCTATCTATGCGCATTGCAGTTGTGAGGAGGAAGGAGAAAAAAGAAATTGGAGAGGAAGTAGCACAGAAACTTCAATAAAGATGAAAGGGAATTGAAGTATTCTCACGCTGTCAATTGCAATCAGATCGCATTCCATATGACAAACATGCATTTTTCGTGCGTTGGGCATGTGAACGACTTTGTTTAAATTCACGTATGAACGAGGAAGAAGACGAGAGTAAGGCTGGTGTCTCATGCACAGTGGTGCGAATGGGAGTCCCGAGGTGATTTTCAGTTAGAGTTCGACAAAGTCAAAGCTTGTGTTAGCCGTTTTGTAGATGTCTACACTGTCAGAAAGGAGCTAGTAGCCGGCCGGCAGCCCTGACTATTGCTGCTGACAGCGCTAGCATGGCAGTCAGGGAAAGAAATTTCGCAAATTAAAGCACAATCCTGTGTGGAGGGGGAGTAGGAGGAAGAAGGAGGAATTGGAGAGGAAAGTAGGAAGGAAAAATTGTGCGATTCATAATGAAGCTTCGCCCCATGAACTTGTGTGCGCGCTTGTTTAAACCATTTTGTAGATCCCGATTTATTACAAAAAAAAAACAGTAAAATTGTTTAACGGTGATAGGAAGTGTGACAATCTCGTAAACAACAGCAATGATAGTGGTGCGAAGTCGTCGGTAAACCTTTAGCCTACTTTGCTTCATTTCATATAGGATTCTTTTACCTAGTTAGTTAACTTTTCTGCCCCAAACGTTGCCATTTTCAGAATATGTTATAAATCCCTCTTGGAAACACTTCCTAAATTCCACGGGTTCACAGTCTCAATGAACTTCTTTAGTTGTCCAGGATTATGGTATTTGCTACCTAAATAGGCAGTGTACAATTTCTTCCAACATAATCAAAAGCGAACTTGCATTTGAGTAAAAGCAGTCAGTTTTGTCTATGATACACAGCTGGTGTTAATTTTGAACGTATCTTTGAAGCGTTGCTTTTGTTCTTCTTGTCATCACTTTTTTCATGGCGAGACGCGGCGCCAGAAGCAACTGCCTCTGATATGATATGCACAGGATATTATCGGCAATTGTCAAACTCCTTAAAACTCGACACAATCGACCTTGTGACGCATTATTCTGCTAATTCTACAGCGATGTTATCACCATTGGAAACCTCAGTCATGGGTCTGTTCCCACTTACATGTTCATCAGAGTTCACCGCAGCAGTGAGGGTGAGGATTCATCCTTAAAAGAGAAGACATTGAATGGTCCCACCTAGAATACGTACAGGGACTGTGGAGGTGAACACGTTTCCAACCGACGACACTATTTATTATGACCAGGCTGAAAACCGTAAACGTGAGCATAACTTAAGCCGATTTATTTGCTGCACTCCCTATGTTGTCACGTCTGTAAAAATATTTATCCAAAACTCAATGCTACGTTATTGTATTTGAAAGTATAACGCAAGTTTTGAGAGTAAATCTAAAAACTTGTAGACAGTATTGAACTATGTATGAAACGTTTCACATGTTTTACATAGAATTCGCACAAATCTAAGCGCAAATTGTGCCTTGGCGTCGATCTGATAGGGCTAACATTGTGAGAGATCACTCGAAAGAGCATGAAACTAGTGCTTTTCCAAAATTTTCACTACGTTCTCACAAGCATTTGCACGTTTGTTTGGGAGCATGCATGAGTTTACGCTGGGTAGAAACAGTCCTATCGGTTACGCCTAGGAGAATTCCAGTGTTTTATGATTGGACTGTTGCGAACCTTAGGAGTACAGGAGTTTCCCAGGAGTTATCATAGAAACGTGCAATTTTAAAGTAATTGACGAGGCTTCAGAAGTAGAGAACAGATGCCAATTATTTCTCGTTCTATAAGCGCCATTACTCGCAACGCTTTAGTGTAATAAAACGGATCAGTGAATAAGCGACGCGATGGTGATTGAGCGAGGACAGGCACGATAGCTCAATGAGTCCGTGGCAGCGGCGATCAATAATGTCATAAGTGTTCATGTAAATAATGAATGACTAAGCAGATTTCAACCATCTGTTTCAGTCTTCTCCTTTGATTTCTTACATCATCTCATGGGAGGATATCTGACACTATTTCTTCCAAAATTTTACAAGCCTTGAATAATTCTCAAGATGAAAGACTGACCACCCTTAACCGAAGCCCCTTCACGAAGACAAATAAGGACTGTATAGTTAAAATATGATGATTTGTCATCCTCGTCCACAGATTTGAAAAATGAAAGTGAAAGAGCGCTAACGAACGAATCCACACACACTCACTAGGGCTTTGAGTCTTGCCAACTATTTCGTAAAGGGGCGACAGCCCATTTAAGCAACCAATAGTCTGATAATCCGAAATTACCCTACTCTCCAAAAACGCTAGCATTTTCGCTTCTTATATTAAAAAATCGCCACGGGAACGCTTGCAATAAAGTCTTAAATAATTCATGGGAGGATCATAAAGCTTTGCAGAAATGGTTCAATAATTTGACAGAATATGTGAATTTGAACCACGTTATTAAAAAGAGCTTGCAAACACACCTCATAAATCAATGTATTTACTGTAAATTTAAGAGAGGATTATTGCTTAAGAGCTCATTCACAGTTTCCATTCGTCCCTTTCCCTTTTGAGATTTTGGTTTTCTACTTGTCAGACCGGTATGTCCTTTTCAATTTGAGCCACTGTAGAACCTGCATGCCTACCCTCATGCCCTTGAACCTCGAACTTCAGAAGAGGGTTACTTGCGGAAGCATTATTTGGCATTGTATACAGAAGGAACGGAAATGCGAGCATAGATGAGCCGGAAAGGAGACATCACCCGGAGGAGGATGCAATGCTTTGTTTGTGTGACTACCTGACGTTTGGCGGTAACTTTAGAATTTGTCTGGACCCTGTACATGTGGGCTGGCCTTCGGACCACGCTCAGGCTTCATTTGTCCTGTCGTCTTCGGAATGCATGTATTCAACCTCACTTATGCCTTCTACTACCCCATGGGAAGTCTCGTGTTCGTGTTCGAATGGCAAACTTAAACACACTAGTATGTATTATAGACGCCATTTATTTTAGGATATCCATTATAGCTCCGCTTCTAGTTCATGAATGAATATTTTTTAAGGACACAATCCGCCGCATTGTGACGCATCGCTCAGTTGATCCATTTCCATCGTTCTCAGATACTTGTGCATAGTTGTTGAAACCACAAATCAAATTAAATAAATATAACTGCAGAGCCCTTAGACTTTCCACCGGGTAGATGAAGACATTAATTTTGTTTGAATACACGTATTCTAAGAGGATAGGAAAGAAGTGGGTTTTGGCATGGCCCGAAGGCCAACCCACGAGCACAAAGTAGAACATAAGCCAAAGAAACCGTCAGACATCTGATAGTTACATAAACAAAGCAGTACAACTACTGTGATTAAGTTTTCCTTACAGACGAGAGGCAGTTAATTAATACGACTTTGTATTGTAGGCGCGT